AAAGCGCACGATATGTGACCATTCATGCAAACTGTACTGTAGCATCATGCTACATAAGACAATAAATAAGATTTATTTACTCAAAATACTCAAAACTCACTTTAAACCACCATTGAGTGTTTGTAATAACTTCCGATTGCCGTTTATTGGCAATGTTGGCAATGTAATGTTGCTGAAAATAAATATGTTATTATCTCTGACTCTGAGTCAGAGCAGCGATCATGGAAGAGAGAACGCAGGCAGACAGCGCTGGAAGCTGCTAATCATTCAGTCATTCATTTCCAATGGAGAGTAGCGCGGGAGCTGCGTGGAGTTCCGATCATATGCAGATGTCCGTTCACGTTACACGCGTGTTATGTGACCATTCATGCAAACTGTAGCATCATGCTACATAAGACAATAAATACTTATATATTTATAAAAAAGATTTATACCAGGAGATGAGTCTGAGTTTGTATAAACATCAACAAGCTGAAAAATAAAACCAAAGTTTTTTTTATTTTTTATAATGTAATCTTGTTAAAATTGATTCCATAAAACTGGTATCGAAAAAAGTATCGTTCAGGAACCGGTATCGAAGTCAAGGTATCGATATCGAAAATGTTTGAACGATACCCAGCCCTAGGTGCGTCCCTAGTATTGACAATCTAAGATCAAAACTGACAGTTTTTTGATATTGTGCAAAATAACCCCGGACAAAAACATTTAAAGTGATTGGCGTCATATTTTCATAGCTTTTTATTATTATTATTATTATTATTATCATTATTATTACCTGTCCTGCCACCTCTTATTAGCTCTTTAGCCTGTCTGTCAAAGGAATGGGATCATAATATACTTCAGGGTTGGTGTCCATAAAATGATATTTTTATTTTTTTGCTATCAGGAGACATATTTACAGTAGTGTCACATTTGCTTAAGCTCTTTAAAGCAGCTTATATCAGGTTCTTGAGAAACAGCTTAGCTGTATACCCACTATTTAGTTTGAGTGCTGATTATACAATTCATGCAGTTGTATTTCGGAGTGAAAAAAGGATGCTTGAACTGCAGAACTTCACTATGCACTAGAAATTTTGCTCACGGCACAGCGATGGTAAAGACCCCATGAAACAGCTTGATTCCTGTATTGGCATATTAGCTATTGAAGCAGGAAGTGTACATCGATTGGCTCGTTATTGTGCAGTATATTTGGCATATTTATGCCCTCAAACCGCAAAACTGCCATTTTGACTTCTCGGGGTCTTTAAAGCACTCCTGCACCTCACTGTCATTCTGTTCACATGCCGCCCCATGCCTGATTTACTCATGCCTGCTGCTGTGACTGTGCTGTGCACTTTTTTGTTATTTGTGTTTATGTATGTTTGTGCATGTGTCTTGTGCTCACCGTTAGGATCAGTGGGTGTGCGGTTTGTTCCTGAGCCCAAACCTGCACCAATTACCTCCACTAAAGAGTCCCAGCTGCCCCCTAAACAGGCCATTCTCCCTCCCAAGTGGCTGATGGCTTCTTCCTCCTCCTCCACTGAGACTGCTCCAGTCCCATCCTCATCCTCCTCCTCTTCATCATCATCGTCGTCTTCATCATCATCCTTTGCTCCCCCCATTGCTAAGCCTCCTCCTCGGACTGTGTCTTTAAACATAGACGACTCTTCCCGCAATAATCCCAGTCCTCCCGTAACAGCAGGAGACCGTGAAGTCCCTCCCACTATTCCCACCCACTCCACTCCTCCCACTGTTCCCGCCCACTCCAACCCCCCAGCCCCTACTGCCCCTAAACAGCCGCCAGTGCCCCCTCCCAAACCCACCCATCACAACAACAACACTGCACTGCAAGGTGAGTCATTATTTGTCCTGTCAGCTTTCGCTCCAAAACTGCAGCTGTAAAGTGTATGTGGCTTCATGCTGCTTTCTTAATAGACCTTAGCCAGAGTAGTGCAGAATGATAAAAGTATGACTTGTTTGAAGACCTGGATATATCAGGGGGGTTTAAAATGGTGATTTCAAGGTCTGGAAAAGAAGGAATTAATACAATCTATAGTCAATATGTTATTTTCTATGTAACAGAGTAACGCGTCGTGTGTGTGTGTGTGTGTGTGAGGGGAACAGGGTCACATCACAGGAGAGTGAACTGCCTGTCAGAAATCATAGCACGTCAGCTGTCTTAACCGCGGCTTGTGTGCTGCATCATCACTGTGTCTGTCACGCGACTCTGTTGCCCTTTCGGGCTTGGTTGGTAAGGTAAAACTAACGACATTATTAACTGTCTTGATATTTACTTTGAAAGCTGAAGCTCGCGATTATGGTAAGGGGCGTTACATTTCCGACGCGTGCTTGTGGTGTTCGGCCAATCACAATGCACTGGGTCAGCTGGCCAATCAGAGCAGACTGCGCTTGTCAAAGGAGGGGGCTTTGTTGAAAACGACGCGTTTGAGAGAGGCGGGGCATAGAGGACCTACAATAATGTACAGTATTTGAAAAATAATGTGTTTTTTGAATATTAAAGCATGTCAACATATTCTGTTACACCAAATACACAAAATAATGATCTTTAAAATAGCATCATATGACCCCTTTAAGAACATCGTATTGTTTTCTTAAGAAGAAAATGATTGTTTTGCTATTGTTGCCGAAGACTTGCTGATCAAGTCCATACACCTCAAAGGCCGTCTTTTGCGCTGCCTTCAGATTACTGCAATAATCATATTAAGCCTGCACACTATTTACGTTGTGTAATACAAATTTTTCTTAAATCCCAGAATATGCCAATGTCGTCGGCGCAAACGTATTTTATGTTACATGTATAATTTAAATTATGGAAACAGATTGGATATGCTTCTTATGTCTTCTGCATAAATGTCTCGCCTGCAAATTATGTGTGAATGAGTGAATGCGTCATATGTTTGTGTGCGAGTGTGTGTGTATTACTAGAGTGAGCACGTCCTGTGTATGAGCACGCTTGTAATTATAAAATTAAAAACAAGGTCCCTATTTGAGTCATTTTTAGTAGAGTTGTCTCTACAGAAAAAGTCATATCACGCATACTCATAATGACTCATGCACATCTCTAAGAATAGTAATAGGTATTATATGGAGCTAGTGTTTACATTACATTTACATTTAATCGTTTAGCAGACGCTTTTATCCAAAGCGACTTACAAATGAGTAGAACAATAGAAGCAATCAGACGAACGAGAGAGCAACAGTATATAACTGCTGTGACAAGTCTTAGTCTAGCACAGTACACATAGACAGTTGTTTTTTAATAGAATAGAATAGAATAGGTAAATGCTAGTATTAGTTCGTCAGGTGCTGGCGAAAAAGATGTGTCTTTAGACATTTTTTTTAAAATGGCCAAAGACTCAGCTGTTAGAATTGAGATAGGGAGGTCATTCCATCAGCTGGGCACAGTCCAGGAAAAGGTCAGTGATAGTGATTTTGTGCCTCTTTGGGATGGTACCACAAGGCATCGTTCACTTGCAAAACGCAAGCTTCTGGAGGGTGCATACATTTTAACTAGGGGGTTTAGGTATATTGGTGCAGCGCCAGTTGTTGTCTTATAGGCAAACATCAGTACCTTGAATTTAATGCGAGCAGCTATTGGTAGCCAGTGTAAACTGATGAAGAGAGGTGAAACGTGAGATTTTTTTCGGCTTGTTAAGACCACTCTCGCTGCTGCATTCTGGATCAGTTGCAGAGGC